TTCACCATCTCCTCACCTGTGCTGGACGTAGGCCTCTATCAGCTCTGGTCTGAGGCTGGCCAGGCCGTGAGGATGCAGCTGTGGGTAACCAAAGCTCTGACACTCTTTGGGTACCTCCTCCTCATTGTCAGCTGAGCTGAACTGGAAGTTCAGATCTTGGGGGAAAGTCCGCAGAAGGTCCAAAATGTAGGGCCGCCCATCATTTCCAAATATGCCAACTGTGGAGACGGCTGAGCAGAGCTCCACTGGGCTGTTGTTGTGGTCAAGGACCTGGTGACGCTGGATTCTGAGCGAGGTAAGGCTCTTGTCCAGAAGCTCTAAAAACCTATCCCCCCCAGAAAAATAAAAATTAATAACTTGATGTAAGTTTTACTACATTAACATGGATGCAGCTAGAATGTAATAACTCGTGAGAGTGTTCGTCACCGTGGGTGGGTATAGACTGTTTTCCCATTGTCATTAGAGCCGTAAACTATCTGCTCATGGTTTTTTTCCAATAATCCGGGAATGATGGTCTGAGCAACGACACGGACACCATGATAGTCGATCACAGCCGTCCCAAGAGTGTGAAGACCTTCAATGTCAGCAGTTGAATATGCCTAGAAATACAGGAATTCTACGTTGATCCTCAGAATAGCAAGACATTTTGGAGGCTCATCAGATCGTAGATGTTCATTAAAGCACGTCGACTAAAGCACTTTTCTGCCCAGAAAAAGGTTTTGAAAGACTGAAATATCACATAATTTACATTAAAAAATATTTTCTTTACACTTGTCAATATTCTTGCTCCCTTTGTTAGTTATTTAAACTCTTAGCTGATAGAATAGATACAAGTTCTCATCTACAGGTCTAAATAAAATATAGTGAGTAAAATTTAAGGCTATGAATCGGCAAAATGAGAGAATGATGAAGACGATCAATATGGTTTAAATATATTTCACCTGAACTCCTCTCAGGTCGTGCATAGCAGCAGCATGAGCAGCAGCATCGCCGCCTATTGGCTTGTAGTGCTCTGACATGTCAAATGCCTGGCTGAAGAAGAGGTTATTCCACACGAATATCTGGAAATGAGACTGCTCCCCCGGGTTTAACGGCATAACGTTGCCCTCCATGATGGACACCGCACCTTGAGCTGCAGCTGCAACAAAATCACTGTTGATCTGCATGAAGAGAAAAAACAAAAACGTTCTCAGAGGAGGACAAAAAATGTATGATTGCAGGTAGAAGATGAAACAGGTCTAGGGTAAAACATGTGTTTTGCTTTATGCTAGTGATGGTTAAAATGTGATTTTGGTGAAGCTGTTGCTCACCTTGAAGATGCACCTTTCTCTGTGCAGTCGCTCCTGTAGGGAAGCTCTAGGAAGCTCCCTGGATCTCTGCAGCTCCTCATTCCAGTCTCGAGTCTGAACTCACAACACACAGCCAAGCATCAGTGCCATCTGCTAGAAGGTTTTCACTCGATATGCTTTGTTATTTACAACCTGTCCAGCTGTCTGCTCATCCAACCCCATAACACTGGTGTATGTTTCCTCTGAGCTGATGCAGTCCAGGGTGTGATCTCCAAGAGGTGCTGCCCAGGTATAGACCTGGAACGGAGCTGGAATAAGCTCATAGGGGTGCTGATAAACTCTGGATCACGACAGAAACATTCTTAGGTTGCTTGAAGTTTTTGTTATTCTACCATGGTCAGTTACTGTGACACCAATTTCTATTATCAGCAAACCAAGTGTGTTCACCTCCTCTTCTGCAGGGCTGTGAAGTTTTTCTTGAATGCTGGACTGAGTTGTTTCAGAAGCTCAATCAGAGAGTGGCAGATGATTTTAGGAGCAGCAGGTTTAGGATTGAAGTTAAAAGCAGTAGACCTGGAAGAGAAAAACACTTGGTGAGGGAAAGGGAGCTTGACGGTTATTATGGATCTAAGTTTGAGGTTTGTTTTGCTGCCTGGTCAATCTCTAAAACATTGATCAACTCTTGCTTTGAATCTAAAATGTTTAGAATGGTCAAAACTGAAGTTGATTCTTTGTGAAACTGGTTCTCTGAGTCTTTGTTAGAGCAGGGGTAAAACATTAAATGTAGGCCTCAGTACCATAAAGATATAGTGGAGGATCTTTGCAAATTTTTTAAAATACCCGCCCTCTCCACTTTAAAAAAAATGCACATTCACAACCGTGTGCCCGCAAAAGGGACCACCTATTAAACGCATACAAGAGCACGCAGTCCCCCATTTCTCCTCTGTGTTCTCGCTCTGTTTAAAGTTGCTGTTTGCATCGCTCATACAAGCTTGCTTTGAAAAAAAAGAGTTTGCAATTTTTCCACTATGTCAGACTCACCACCAGTAAGCGAAAATGGGGACGAGCACGTAGGACGGCCTTACATACTGTAAATATATTACTGTTTGAGAGTTTTGAGCTCAGACAATACATTGGACAAATAGTCTTGAATAAACTGGCATCTAATGCCACTGCCTGTCTAATGTTCAGGGTTTCTGCTTAAGAAGGCAATAGCTGCGTCTCAATTTGCAGGCTGCGTCCTTCAAAGACGCAGCCTGCAAATTGAGATGCATCTAATGAATAAATATCTACACCCCAATTTCCAGACTTTATGTAAGAATAGTAATAGGAAATCTAAACCCCACAAAAATGTGAAGTGTGTAAAATGCCAAAACATCATGGTTTAATTAAGTTGTTTTAAAATATAAACTTCATAAATATCCACTATGTGGTGGACAACTTTAAATAACATTTAGAAGACTTATTTGTAGTACCAAAAACCTAAGAAGTTATATGATCACCATTGTGGGATTATCAAGTCAGGAGTGTTACAAGTATTTTCATGAAGAAAATCAAGCTTAATGTAATAACCAAAAAAGTCATTTGCTCTAAAATGCAAAAAACAAAACAAAAACAAAGAGTGTTTTTATAAGAACTATCTGCAGCAAGAAAAATATCTTTGTGTTACAACATAACCATTCAGAACATTAATGCTGAAACAGAACCTTTTTTTTTTTATTTTAGTTTTCAACTTAGCTTTTTAACTTTTTAAATTATCTGTTGAACTTTTTTGCTTAGCTTAGTAAGTTTTTTTACTTTATTTATAACCCTTTTCTTTTGCCTAATTTACAGTAGGTAACATATCACACACAGGAATCATTAGCCTACTGGTTGTAATCTATGAAGCAATTACTCTCAGCCTACAGATGGAGGTGAATTTTGCAGACCCTGCAGACCACATTTGACCTCATGGTTGTCCCTGTTTACTGCAAAGTGGTGTTTATATCCAAATGACCAAAAATAGTGACTTGAACAACAAAGAGTTAAAGTGGAAAATCTGTTCTATGTCAAAATAAAAATGTTTATATTTCGGATTACTTTCTTAAACCTGTAGATTGTTGAGACTCACTGGTTGAGATAGAAACCCCGCGTGGAGCAAGTGATGCTGAGCTCTCGGTCTTCTAAAGTTAAGACGCTGACATACATCAGGTCTCCGTGCATTTTCCTGTTTCCTGGGGGAGGGTTCCAGCTGCTTGTAGTCAGGACTCGCAGGCACTGCAAAGGCTGCACATAAGCCCTTATTTAGTTGATCACAATGTCTGAGCCATGTTTTTACTAATCCAGACAGAACTCTCACCTTCCAGTCATCTCTGATGGGCTGCAATGGAGTTAAAAGTCTCTCCTGACATCCAGGCATGATGTAAGCTGGAGGGCTACAGTCTATGGAACCCTTCTCAGAAACATGCATCTTTTTCTCATTTTCACCATCTGAAGAAATTATCAGAATATGATTTTTTTTCCCCCATAGATGCTCAAAAAGATTGGCATAATGTGGCATGAGGGAGAGGCATTACTTTGCTCTGCCTTGGTGTATAAGGACAGGTAGGATAGAGAGCGCCCGTTCACACCGTTGTATGCATCTGCAGGGTCGAGGCTTCTCAGCAAGCTGCGAATGTGTCTGAGATGAACACGAGCGTCACGCACTGAGTAGGGATCTGAAAGAAGAGAAGCCACCCTTTAAAAGTTATCACCTGTTGATAGCTTTGCTCATATCTGTAAAACCTCTGGTAACGTCCAGAAACTACCCGTAATAACAGAGTGAAAAAGAGGAAGGTTGATACAATGAATATTGGAACTGTGCATCAAGTTGATTTTTTCTGCAGTAAAGCCTTAGAAACATTTTAAATGTTAAATATTTAATGTTTATGTACCAAAGAAATACCTAAGGAAAGAGTTCTAACAGCACTTTAGCAGAATTGTTGGTCTAAAAGCATTTAGACAATTATACAATTATTAACAAACGAAAAACTTAATAATTGAAAGACAAACAACAGCTGTTATTTGCGATTTTTGCTAAAAAAAAAAAAAAAAAACATTGAAATAAAATCACAGCTATAGAGCTGTATACTCAGGTTTGGAAATGACCCAGACATTGTAGGATGTTCTGCTAGTGATCATCCTGCTTCCATGAGTAAAGACAAGTTGTTCCGGTCCAGATCCAGCAAAGCCGCCCAGACCATCACACTGCCACTACCTTGTTTAACTGTTGGGTTTTGTAATCTTTTCTTTCCCAAACACTGCTAGGCTCTACACTAGATATAACTATGTATATCTAGTATATCACTTCCAAAAAGTTACAGTTTTGTCTCATTGGCGCAGGTTAAACTTTACTGTATGTCAGGTAATGTAGACCTTTAGAAAATCTTTTCAAAATGTTTAGGGCTAGATTGTTAGAAAATTGTTGATTTTACATAAGAATGATGCTGCTGTTTTGTTTCTGCTCCTTACCTGAGTCAATGCAGTGATATCTCAACCATATGTCTGGTAATACAGATATAAATGACAAAGAATAGACTGAAATGTTTTGGGTAAATATGAGACAGGCCTGTGTGTTTTTTGACTAGCGATAGCTTTAGCCTTAGAAACCTTTTATAGGTCATACTTGCTAGTCTTTCTTGGTGTTGAGTCATGAACTTTGACCCTGACTGGGGTAAGTGTGATCTTAAGAGCTTTAAATGTTTTTCTTTTTAAACGATTTCTCCATTGGCACATGGTGGCCCTCAATGCAGTTTCCCTTGAGACCCAAGGCTTTGGAAATTGTATTTAATTATGTGAGTGTCTATTTTTTGTTTTTACTTACTTTTGTTTTTACTTTCTTCCTGCGTTATACCAAGAATTACCTGCCTGCTGAGAGTTACCTCTCGTGTCGTGGGGGCGTGCATCGCCCTAAACTCTCAGTTCTGCTGGGCCAAAGAGACCATCATCTTCCAAAATCATTTTGCTAAACTATTTAGGATGGGTAATCCAGGTCCAGAAAGTAAAATTAGTTCCAACTATTTGCATTTCCAAATCCAGAGCATAAATAGGAACAAATGATAGAATTTTGAAATCAGGTGATTCAGTAAAAACATGAAGAGAAACTCGGCAGGGTTACGGGTTACCCATACTTGTCATCTCCAGCTACATCTAGGGACCAGGTCACAGAGACAGCAGTCTCTGCAGAGAATCCTAGAGTTCCCTCTCTGCAGACATTCCCTCCAGCTCTACAAAGGGAAGCCTGAGGTGCTCCTAGTGGACCGTAGACCAACAGGTAAAAGGAGAGCTCACTCAGCTCTCTCTTTACCACCACAGACTGGTGCAGCATCTGCATTATAGCAGCAGCTGCACTGATCCATCTATCCATGTCCTGCTACCTTCTCCCCTTACTCCTACACAGATACTTGAACTCCACTTGAGGCAGGAACTCTCCTCCAACCTGAAGGGGACATGCACCTTTCTCCAGTCAAGAACCAAAGTCTCTGACTCAGAGGAGCTGATTCTCATCCCGGCTGCTTCACACTCGGCTGCGATCCACACCAGTGCATGCTGTGGTTCTTAACAGGAGAGATCCAGCAGAACCTTGTCATCTCCAAAAAGCAGGGATGTGATTTGCTGTTCCCCAAACTAGACCCCACTCTGGACCTTTGCTGCACCTAGAAATTCTGTCCAAAAGTTGGGTAAACTCCCAATCATCCTTGCCCACACTGCAGAGTGAGTAGAGCTGGTCCCCTTTTCCACAGCTGAGACAAAAACCACACTGCTCTTCCTGAAGCTGAGGTTCAACAATCAGCCAAATCTCTGCTCCAGCAACCCGGCACAGGCCTTCCCAGGGAGGCTGAGAAGTGTGATCCCACTACAGTTGCAAGACACCCTCCGCTCCCTTTTCTTATGCAGGGAAAATACCATCCTTGTCTGCCAATCCAGGAGCACTGTCCCCGACCTTTATGCAGTGTTGAAGAGGTGTGTCAGGCACAATAACCTAACAACATTCAGAGCTCTAAGGTACTCAGGATAGCTCTAATCCACCCCCGAAGCCTTGATACCGTGGAGTTTTTTGACCACCTTGGTGACTTCACACTGGGTGATGGATGAATCCAGTCTCTTCTTCTACCACAGAAGGTGTTTTAAATGGATTGGAAAATATCTACTGTTAAGTGTTCGTTCCACGGATCTCTCTAAATAGCTCAATTAACTCACAACCAACAGAGTAGCCAGATATTTTATTCAAGTAGGATTAATAATGCATCACTAGAATACTACTCAAGTAAAAGTAAGTAATGTACATTAAAACTACTCCTAAAAACACTGTTTTTTGTGTGTGTTGCATTAGTAAATGTAACTGGGTAAATGTAACTAGTTAATACCCCCTACCCAGTGTATAGCTTTTTTCGAATAAAGGTTTGCCAAAATTTCTGAAAAAAACAATTAAAAAGTTTAGAAAATGTCTAAAATATTACAAATAAATTGCTTCTGGTAGTCTAAACACACTGCTTCAACTTTACACTTGATTGTTGAGAAAATACAGAAGTTGAAAGGATGATGGGAGAAAGGAAGAGTCAGTTACCCTCCACCACCCTGATCAATACACCCTCCCGAATGCCCTCGATGGAGCCGAGCTTGGTCAGGCTGTCGAGGACCGTTTGTCCTATCTGCAGGGAGAAGCAGGTACGGTGGCAGGTGATCTCATGATCCATAAGCACCTGGTGGAGCTCAGATACCATCATCTGTCCTGACACCTGAGAGGGAAGGAAAGACGGAGTGAAATACTGGAGGGAGGTAAAGGTTCAGTCAAGCTCTTCTAGGACAACAGAAGCGAGTATAACCTGAAGCTCAAAACTGTCTGTTCCAGGCGGCTGAATTCTGACGGTAAAATCGTCCTCATGAAGATCGGTTACATCTCCAAGGCCTGGCAACGTACTTCTCTCAGGAGAGAGCTGGAGATCCTCAGTGATTCCTAAACCAATGCAGAAATGGCAGAGAAGACAACAGAGTGAAGGAAAATTCCTTTATGGAAGACGTTTCTCTCCATTTTAAGACTTAAGCAAAAAAAAAAGTGAATCCATAAAGATAAACAAAGATGGATGCCAATTTTTAATCACCAACCTTTCATAAGCGGAGCTCCCAGAAATAGTCTGTCCATTAAAAACAGGGTTTTCTCCTCCTGTCTCTCTGCTCCTTCCTGCTCATCATGCTCTTCCAGTCCTCTCTTGGCTGGCTTTATGTTTTTCTGATCATCATACATTGGAGCCTTGGTAGAAATTAATCGCTCTGCTAAATCATCTGCGTTAATACTTAATGGATCATTTTCATTTCTTACTTTATGAGCCAACATCACAGATTTACCTACTGGATCTGCTTCACTGTGTTCACATCTTACTTGGAGATCCTCATGACTTCCAGCAGAGCTGATATCATTGATTGTGTTGTTGGTTTTTTTGTCTGCATCAATACTGTCATCAAATCTACCTGTTCTTTGTGGAGTCCTGTCAACGTTTTGATCTTTACTGCTTTCACTGTGATGCATCAGTGCAGGGTTCTGCTCAGTCCAAACAATACCAGGGGAATATTCCACCCTCTGTTCCAGTCCTTCTTCAGCTTGTTTTTTAGACTTCTGTGATTTATTTTTCCTTTCTTCCCTTTCTGTTAACCATGAATCTTCTGTGTTTATGCTTTGTGCTTCTACTATTTGTAAATTGTTGAGTTTTAAATTATTTATTTGTGATGTTTGTGTGTCTAAAATCAAATCTACCTGCTGAGGTTTTTCGTCCCAGATTTCTATCTTCGCTGTCTCCAGAGTCTCATCAATGTACCCAGGATTTGTCTGCATTTCTGTCTCTGAGTTTATCTGAGCTTGCACCTCTGTACCAATCGAAGTCTCCGCCTCAGTCTGTGTCTCAACTTCAGAGAAAGTTCTGCCTCTTCCGTTGCCGTGGCCCAAAATTTTTCGTTCATCTTCAGGTTGACCTGCTATGAAACCCTGCTCCTCATCCTCTTCAGAAACCAGTAGACATACCATGGGCTCCACCGGTGTCACTTCGCCTCCAGGGTTGCTGCTTAGTATGATGTCAGGAAACAGAAAATGTTCCGGCTCAAGTGTTGTGTTTGTTATACCAGTAGACGGGTTTAATATATTGTCCTCTAAGTTGTGCTGAGAGCTCCAGGAGTCACAATCGCTTTCATCACTTGATAGAAGAGGGGATTGCTCAGCCCCCCCCTGAGACGGTGCATCCTGACACTTGAAGAAGGCAAACAGGGTGTGGCAACACTGAAAGATGTTTCCCATGGTTTCTTTGTGCAGAAATCTCTCCAACTGAAGAAGGAAAAATTCCAGTGTTTGACAAAAAGAGTTTACAATCAAAATTTGTACACTTACCCACATTACTGTTTATTATTAATTGTATTGCAGATGAATAAATGATAGGACCAACTTTTTGGTTTTCATCAACCAAACATGACAACTTGTTAAAAATTATTTCTAAAAAAGCATTAAAGTTGGACTAAAGCAAATTATAGCTCTTGGTGGAGCACAAGTATCATCTGAAGGGCTCCAACTAAATGACATATTTCTAAAGCTGCCATAGCCAACTGATATTTGGAGAACAGCTGTCATAAAATTCATCATTACTCAAAAATATCATAGACCCTTGAGTAAAAAGGTGCCAAGCCCAGGAATTGAACCATAGATGTCCAGTAATTAAGTTATGTGTAATAATATTGAATGGCACTAGGAAAAAGTATTGAATGTACTTATTGAAATATATTTAATACTTTGTACCAAAGCCTTTGTTGGCAATGACAGCTTCAAGATGCCTCCTGTATGGAGAAGTCATATGCATTGCTCAGGTGTGATTTTGGCCCATTCTTCCACCCAAACAGTCTTCAAATATTGAAGGTTTCATGGGCCTTTTCTAATAACTCTGATCTTTAGTTCTTTCCATTTTCTATTGGAATGAAGTCAGGTGATTGACTGGGCCATTTAAGCAGCTCCCCCCCCCCTTTCTCTGAAACCAATTGAGTTTTCTTGGCTGTGTGTTTGGGGTTATTGTCTTGCTGAAATGTCCCCCCACATTTCATCTTCATCATCCTGGTAGATGGCAGCAGATTTTTTTTTTTATCAAGAATGTCTCATTACATTTTTCTCTTCACTCTTTCTTCAATTATTTAAAGCTTGCCATTGCCATATGTTGAAAAACCGCCCCACGCCATGGTGTTCCCACCTCCAAGCTTCACTGTTGCTATGGTGTTTTTGGGCTGACATGCAGTGCCGTTTGACCTCCAAACATTATTTGTATTATGTATCGAAAGAGTTAAATTTTGGTCTCATCTGACCAGACTATATTCTCCCATTTTTTCACAGGCTAGTCTAAATGTTGTGCAGCAAACTTTAAATGAGCTTCAACCTGTTTTTTCTTTAGCAATGGAGTCTTGCATGGTGAGCATGCTAATAGACCATGGCGGTTGAGTCTGTTACCTATTATTTTCTTTGAAACAATTTTACGTGCTAATTCCAGGTCTGTCTGAAGCTCTCCTCTGGTGGACTTTGGCTCTTGTAAAACTCTTCTGATCAGTCTTTTCACTCCTCTGACAGAAATCTTGTGAGGAGCACCTGGCTGTGGTCGGTTTATGGTGAAATTATGTTATTTCCACTTTCGGATTATGGCTCCAACAGTGCTCACTGGAACATTCAGAAGTTTAGAAATCTTTCTACAACCGGTGCCATCATTATTATTTGGAACAATAAGGTCGCAAAGGTTTTGAGAAATTTATTTACTTTTACCCAGCATGAGATGTTTCTTGTGTGATACCAGAGACACCTTTTTGTAGGCCATGATTTAAGACTGAACAATCCGATATCAATTTGCTCTGCTGGTGTTTTGGCTTTCCATGCCTTGTTGCACCTCACTTTCTTCACGTGTTTAATACTTTTAATACTTTAATGGCACTAATGCAGTGCCATTCCACAGTATTACAAATAACTTAACTGTTGGACATCTTTGGTTGGATTTCTTTGTATATGTGGATTGCATGGACCGTTACCGAGATCCGATAAAAATGTCATGTCAATAGCACCTCTAGAAATATATTTTGCTGAGAAAAATGGTGGCGTGTTCATTAATTATTTTACCCGCTGTATATTGTTTGGGGGAATTTTCTTGCACTTTTTTTTTAAATCTATTTTTGTATTTATTTGTATATTTTCTCTTAGCTTTACTCAGTTATACTTATTTGTTCTGGATCTCTCTATATTAACTTATTCAGGAGGAATGGATCTAAGCAAATCACTTAAAAAACCTTGTGGAAGGAAGCCTAAAACATCTGGCTTAAATTCTGCAATTTCAACTAAATTCTAACACATTCTAAGGCATACTATATAAAGATCAATATTAGAAGAAATTTTGGCACTGACAAAAAAAAAAAATACACTTCTACATCCTAATGGACATAAAACAGAAAAAAAAAGTTTAGTCTGATCAGATAATAAGGGACAAAACATGAATAAAACAAAAAATAAATATAAAATTGATTAAAAACTCATATAAAAGAATACATCAAAGTGAACAGCAAAGACTCTACAAGGGTGCACCCTCTCCATGAGTGTCTGGGTGGAAATGCAAGCAGCTTAGAGCTTTAAACAGCAGCTGATGACAGTGTGATTAGAAAGATGTCCTGCAATGGTGTCACCCTACATGAACTGGACAACCTCAGATTGTAAATCTAACCATACCAATGACACCAAGCATGTAGGAAATCCTGGAAGAAAAGTTTAAAAAGTGAACTGAGGACAGATTAAGAGATTAAAAATCATTCAGAAATATATATAAAATCCTAATAAGATGTATTTCTCATCTTAAGTTAAACTTTTAACTAAAACTCATGAGAACATAAACTGTTGTGGGGTAAATTTGCATGATCACAACAAAAATATAACAACAGATATGTGAGACCTACCATCCAGTGAAGAAAGAAGAATTTATTCACTCTCTGTCATCTTGTCTCATATCTTCTGATTTCCATCTTGAATAAAACTCAAAGCAGCGTCTCCCAGGCTTTCCCTCAGAGTGCAGGAGGCTCTCCTGTCCTTGCTGTGTGACCACATTACACAAACTGTGTCCTTCATGAGAGGGGAGAGGAAGGGGAGCTGTCACAGAGCCTGTGGGCCCTCACCCTTTACAGGCAGTACCTGTACAAGGCCACCAGAGGGCCCCCTTTCTGCTACACATGATGTAACTTCCTGTATGATTCAGATTGAGGCATGAAGGTGGTAGCATGACTGTTATTACTGCCATCTACTGGTAAAAAACAAATTTGGTCATCTTTTCACTGCCTTGCAAAGGTGTGATGTAACAACAGTTGGTTTTACAGTATTTTATTGTTTCTTTTTTATGACTGACCAAAAATAACTAGCAAAGTGTGACATGCATTTATATTCTGCCCTATTTAATCTCATGCCACTGAATATATAAAATGCAAAATCTGTCTCTATGATTTTGAGACCAAGAACTTTAACAAAGTCCAGTAGTTATAACAAAACAGACAATTTATTCTGTTGTCAGAATAATCATCAGTTCTTTTCTCCACTCATCTCAACCTGATTGCAGAGTGGTCTATGGAATTTATATTCTTTGCTATCTTAACATTATTTGTTATGTTTCTAGTCTAACATTCATTCTATTTTCTTAAACGTTTTATCTTGTCAAACATTCATCAGTCGTTTTATCTTTTTAAAAAAATATATATGATCCTCTTATTTTAAAGGGTCTCTTTTATTCTCCTGTTGCCTTTATGCCACTCCAATGCATGTTTCTATTTCTATCATTTTCTTATTTACACTTTAAATTGTCTTTCCACTGAAATATGCAAAGCTTTGAGAAGCTTGATTGAACTTTCGATATCTTTTTCAAACAAGACATTATTTTTAAATAAATATTCAAAACTTTAAATTCCAAATAACAAATGTATATATATTTTTTTTCACAGTGGGGAGACTAACTAAACTTTGCAGTACACACAAAAAAAAATCTGATGTAAAACCCTGTGCATACATGTGTCTCTGTCCAATCTTTTATAAATTCTTTATAGATTCTTTATAAATCTCAACATGGATGTAACTGACTGCAGCTGCAGGTGGAATTTTCTCTAGACCTATTCCCGGCCTTAAAATACAAATGCATTTTTGGACATTTATTCTTGTAAGATACCTACAATGTTTTAGTTCAATCAAACAGTCACATAGACATCCTTAACACCCATCAGGGATATTTGTTGCATCCAACTAAAGACTTGAATAACGTCAGTCTCACTAATAAATAAAGTATTTTCTGATTTTTTGTTTTAAGTAAGTAAGTAGGCTTTATTATATAGCATCTTTCACAGACCAAAGGCACAAAGTGCTTCACAGCACAATTTAAAAACATCAGAAAAAAAGCCAAAATAAAAGGCCAATATAATAAGAGATCATAGCAGCCCAAAAGATAGTTAATTAAAAGCTTGTACAAATTAATGGGTCTTAAGTAAGCTCTTGAAGGTAACAACAGAGTCAATAGTATGCAATAGGAGCAGAAGATCATTCCAATTTCTGGGAGCAATAGCCTGGGAGCAACAGCCTGAAAGGAACGGTCCCCTCTGGTATGATAACGAGAGCGTGGAACCTTCAGCAGATTCTGCTCCACAGACCTCAGAGCCCGCGCAGGGATGTAAGGCTGGGTCAGATCACTGATGTAAGAAGGAGCCTGACCATGTAAGGCTCTGAAAGACTAAACTAGACTTTTAAACATGATTCTATAAGACACTGGCAGCCAATGAAGTGCTTTTAGAATCGGGAATATGTCCTTCTATTTGTACGGGTCAGTTTTGCACTGGTTGGAGCTGAAAGAGCTCCTTTTTGTTCAGACATGAAAAGAAACTATTACAAGAGTCTAAACGCGGAGACACAAAAGCATGAATTATTATAACCAGATCATTATTTGAGACAATATTCCTGAGTTTAGAGATTTTCCTTAGTTGAAATAAGCAGTTTCTTGTCAGCTGCTTACAGTGCTGCACTAATGATATACCTTTGTCAAAGATAACTCCCAAGTTTCCAAGTGTCTGTATAAAGGCCAAACTTTATTTTTGGAAATGAGCACAGCACTAATGTCTGGTCAGATGGTGATGTCATTGGCTGAAAATAAAAATTATTATATCTTGAAAACAAAAGGAGCACAACTCTGCAAATCAGGACTAGAGAAGCGTTAGAAATGTAGCTTTGGTTCGATAAGGAGCTTAATGGAGGGATGGTGACCTTTAGATGAACTAAAAAAATAATATTTAATATCTGCAAAGCTAAAGAAGCACAGCTTATCATTTCAACTGCAAAAACCTGCCCTAACTAAGCACTTACTATTCACACGGGTGGAGTTTCAGCTTCGGTGCTCACTGAATTGTGCATGTGTGACAGTCAATGTGCACGTGCAGAGTAAAATACGCTCATTTAGATTTAAATAGTGAATGAAAATAGATGACCCAATGCTCCTGTGGAGAATAATATATGCTACATATGTGGCTATCTTTTGTTTTAATCCTGACACCATAACTGTCCTCCACCAGTGCCAAGGCTGCCATCCTTACACATCTACTCAAACCTTTCCAGCTTTCCACTTCAGCAATGTCTTCTGACTTCTAAGGATTTAACCGCTGATCCCCCACCATTTTGTGGTGCCCATTTGAGAATATATTATATGTAAATTTTACAGACTGATGCACATTTACAGACCAGAGTAGAGGAATATTTACAGTTTACATCCAACTGAAGTTATTTCCATTCATCTTGGAGACTTTTCATTATTGTTTGAGGCTAAGATATCAGGGTACGATTAAACTTGTACAAACGGTGTGATGCTCTTTTAGTTTAATAAACTGAACCAAGTGAAATGTGTGTGTTTTTGGGTGGAAAGAAGGCTTTATTTTACTTATGCAATAAACATGCTGAGTCGTGCTTCAAATATTGTGCCGGCAGTTTTTTTGTGCATACACACACTTTGTACGTAAGGCATGGGTTTGAAATATTCACAATCTGTGGTTAATGAGTATCATTGGGTATTGGCTTGGATTTCAAGAGATAATGAAATTATTTCTACATTTTCTCTGAAATATTTTTTGTTTATTTGTGTTGCACTTTACTGCGGTATTTTGTAGACATCACAGACATTAGGACATCAGGAGAGGTTCTATGCTTATATGTTAGTTCAGATATAAATCTTCGACAAATTGTCATAATAAAACAACAGTGTAATACAGTTTTAAATATTACTTTCTCACTGTGCATACTGCATATTTTCAAGAATATATATTCATATACAGTATATTCATGATATCCAACTAAGCAAAATAACTAGTTTAGGTGCAGAATGTTTAATCAAGCAGAAAAGTAGGCTGGCCCTAATATCTTTTACCATTTACAGAATGAACATGTATAAATCAAAAGGGAACCAGAACATTGTGAAAAGTTTGTCTGACTTGATAGAAAAAGGAACTTTATTAGAGACTTCTGGAAATAAGACCCCGCCTCCACAAAGCACCAAAAATCAAACCTCTCAGGATTCCCCTCCTACTTCTACAAAGATTTATTTGGCATCAGCTGAAAAGAAGGTCTACTTGCCACAGGAGGCCTGGGTATTAGTATTCGGATCACACCAACAGTAAGACAACAGTTAGGGAAACTCTAGCTGCTATTACTTGCTTTTTCATTAGTTTGCTCCATTAGGTATTAATTCTATTCCTTTGCAGAACCTCCATTCATTGCAGTCTACTCACAGAGCTAGTGAGACATCTATAAACATATTTGATGGATTATTTAGCCATCTACAGTGTATGCATGGTGTATTCACTGACAGCTGGGAAAGATGTTGGATAATAAAAAAAAAGATTGTTTCATCTTTTACTTTGAAAACTTACAATATTCTGGTTTGCAAACAGCCATAAGAGTTCTTATGTGAATCTGAGCATAACAAAAAATTTAAAGACGGGGGTTTGAAGATGAATACAGCATCATATTCTAACCATGTTTTAAAATGCAGTTTATACTGTAAAAAATTAGGCCTACTTACCTTTTTTGGGTTAAATAGGCCATTAAATATAACTAAATACATTTGAACATTCACTGGCAAGTACCACACAAAAACCTAATATGAGTTTAAAGGTTTATTGACTGAATTGAGGATGATAGTATGAAGCAATGAGGGATCAAGGGATGAGGGAGGAAGGAATGGAAGCGTAGTTGGGGGTTGGGGGCCGACATCTGAAGAGTAATCAGAAGGTGTGAAGATCACTGTGTGGGGGCATGGTCTCCCAGAGAATTCAGTTCGAGTTCATTTCTCCGAGCCTGCACTGAACCTCCAAAAGGATCTGATTAAATAATGGAGAATGTTTTTTGTTTTTTTAAACAATCCACTCCTTGGGCTCCCGTAAGACATTAGTTCGTCACTTTTTTTTTAGATGTATACTCATAATTGATAAACTAGCAAAGTGTGATACCACGAGCTGAAAAAAATGAGTTATAATTTGACTTATGCTTATTTTATAAAAATGTTAAACTGCTTAAATTTTGTTTAACTTCAATTTAAAGACACCTTACTGAGGGAATAATTTGAATAAAAGGTTTTTTTTTTTAAAGTAAAGCATGTCAATTGTCAATTTTATTCTAACCATTAAAGGTATTGTGGGGGATTTTCTCGAATTTTTTAAACCTGCCCTCTCCGCTTTAAAAAAAATGCACATGCTAGAGCATGCATGAGCCCATTTCTCATTGTGCACTCTCTGTTTAGAAGTTGCTGTTCTCATAACTCATAAAGCTTATTATGTCCGAATGTCTGCCCTAACCCTTAAATCCCTCAATCACTATATAGAGAGGGGACTATATAGTGGACTTTATAGTGAACTCAGTCAACCGTTTGGACAGATGATCACTTCCCCGTTGGTCCCCTGCGTGGTGCCTGCGCCATTTTGTTATTAGTCTCCACTGTCAGGTAGCACCAGCCTATGGCAACAGCGGGCTGCTGTGACAGCAAATAATGCTTTCTGAGGAGAGCTCTGTGATATATCTAAGGCCATTCTTTTCTTCTCATACACTTTTTCTCTTACAAACCTCGGCCATTTTCAAAGAACTGCAGTGAGAAAGGTTAGCTTCAATGACTCTGAAACCATACCTCACCACAGATATTTGCCTAAAAGCGCGCATGTGCAGAAAAAGATAGCTAACTGGACGAGCTTACGTAAACATATCACCAGAATGATTGACAATTAGGAGGACCACTTATTTAGATGATCCACCCAGAAATAAAAGATTATCCTCTATATCTTTAAGGAAGAGAATACATTGATTAATTGGATTTGGTAGAAAGAGGTAAAACATGACAAATGTCAAGCCATATTACCCAGTGCTCAATTTAATTTTAAATTTTCTTTGAAGGATCTTTTGATAAGAGATGTTTTTACTATCCTGTCTCATTTTTAGAACTTAATAAGCTACCTGAAGGACGAGGAAGTCTCTCTCATATCTTCCAATATGTTTTAAAAACAGACAACAGGAAACCAGGGGTTATGGTTTTTCATAACTAGGCAAGTTGTATGAGTTTAATAAAGTGCAGGTAATAAAAAAAATCCTTTTCAAGAGACAAACTTAACTGCAACAACATATGAAAGTGTTGACTTAGGCAATGCTGCTAAATATGTGTCTGAAATTGAAAAACCTCCCACTTAACTTTACAAATAAACATTTGCATTCTTAATTTAGTAAATCTACTAATAATATACCAACGTCTAGTTTAGATGAAACCTTTTTGTGAGAAGCTTAATTCAAAAATCTTGTTTTCAAGATTTTTACAGAAGATCCCAGCCTCGTCTGAAGCCTCTCAAAGGTTTATCAGATGCAGACGCAGGCAAACATCTTAGTCACAGAGCTGTTTCTCCTTCGCCTGCCCCCATGTCCACCCTTCTGTGCACCCTGCTGTCCTCTATGTCTTCCCATTCGTCCTCCCCCTCCTCGCCATGCTGAAGTCTCATTGGCTGGCTCCAAGGGAGGAGGCGGTATCTGAGTGGCACCAAGAAAAGGGCGGGGTCTGGCATTGGTTGTGGACTCTGTGGTGATGTCACCCTCTCCCGTGGGATACAGGCTCTGACCCTCTCCTCCCTCACACTGATGTTCCTCCTGAATCTCCCCTCTGGTTGGATGGAGGAGGCACCTGTATGTGGAGACAGGGGCCATTCTGAGCCTCCTTCCTCCTGCTCTTCCTGATCTTCCTCCTCCTGTCTGACATCTCCCTGCTCTCTGTTTGCAGCAGATTCCGCCCTCTGCCGCTGCTGGAAAAGTTTTAACCTTGCACTGTGCAGCTCATGGTGTAGAGTTGAGGTCATTACATTTTGTCGTTGAAGTTCTCGGTTCAGCAGCGTGATCTTGTGACTGCGACGCTTCAGTTCCTCCAGGAAACGCCGCTCCTCCTCCCTCAGGCTTCTTCCGAGTGCCACTGCTCGTGCCCGGCCTGCTCGCAGCTCTCCACGCGCAGTCACCATCATGCACTGCTGGCGCTCCAGAAGGCGCTCTGCAGCCTCACAGTGAGCTGCGAGCTCTGCTTCTTCCTCTGAGGAACAACAGTATTAATACATGACCCACCATAAATACAGCTCAAAGTACGCCTATAGCTGCGTTTCCATTACAAAGGTGTTCAAAAATGCATCGATACACTGGTAATTTTGAAAATGCAAAGTTTTATAATTGCTGCATTTCCATTAAATAACTAATATAATTAAAATTGAATACATTTGAATACATTTGTTCATAGGATAACTCTGAAAACAATATGGCATGAAAACGCAGGAGATCCAGATTTCAGCCTTGGCTCTAGAGGGCGCCATCATCCTCCAACTATTTCTGGTCTTCAGTTTCATCTTTTTACTTGTCAGTAAGGTGCAGCTGCAGATCATGTGACTCATGTGATGTTGAAAAAGTGTTTCCATTGGAGTTTTACAAAATATAAGAGTTTTGATACGACTGAAAAACGACCTCATCAAAGCATAAAAACTTTTTATCAAAATATTTGAGTTTTTTTTTCATTGCAGTGCTTCTATTTAGCAAATCTATTTTGATTATTACAATGACCGCAATGTTATGGTTATTGGAAACGTAGCTATTGTCACATTACAATGTATTTTACTGAGATTCTATATGGAAGGCCAACACAAAGTGTAGCATTGATACGAAGTGGAAGGAGAAGAAGGTTTTGACATTTCTTTTTACAAATAGTAATAGAAAAAATGGCTCCACTGAGTGATGTTCTATTGAAATATGTCCCTACAAACCAGATTCCATCCAATTTATCTAACTGCATGGTAAAAAATCTAAAAGCTAATTTAGTGCCACAGATTATTGTTTGATTTACCTCAACTTAGATTTTTTTTTTTTTTGTTATTGTTGCAAAGGAATGTGCTTTGATGTAAGTCATTCCTCAGGCTACCTTCACACTGCAGACAAACGTGGCACAAATCAGATTTTTTTTAAACTCAGGTGACATCGGTTGACGACTGTGTGAACAGCCCAGATCATGTGGATGCAGAATGTTTCAAATCCCATCTGAGCCACATTAGTATGTGGTTTTAAATCCGATACAGGTCATATTTTTTGTAATGTGGCCGTTTGAACAAGCAAATAAGCCATATTGGAATTAGTATGATGATTATGTCACTCTTAAGTTACCGAGGGGAACAAAAATAATTACAGCAAACATGGAGGACAGCATAGATGGAGGTGTGGAGTGGAGGGACAACAAAATTCTTGAGTTATTAAGTATTTGGGCAGATACATCAATCCACAAGTAACTTGAAGGATCATACAGTAATAAGTGAGTTGACTACGATGCTGCATCCATATTTTTCCTCTGAGATGTGGCTGCCATTACTCCTCCAAAAGCCGTAATTAATACTTCAGCACTCTTCTTCCTCTGTCTCCTTGTCTGCATTGTCTGCTGCATCATACGGCTACTTTCACTGCTTAACAGCTTTAAGTCCACCCATAAGCTCCATTTACAACACTCTCTGAAAACCGATCCGTGCCGAGTTCAGACCGAGCTTGGATCAGTTAACCGTGCTGAGCTTGGTTCCTTACGACTGTTTACACTGGGATGCACGATATAATTGGCCTCCTATCGGTATCGGCCTGTATCGGCCTTAAAACTGAATATTGGACATAGGCCACCCCACCGATATTTAACCCGATATTTGATCAGCTTCGGAGTTTCTAAAGTCTAAAAAAAAAAAAAAAAATATTGATACATTAAAATATCACAATATCTT